ATTCAATTTAATATAAATAAAATTAACTTAAATTTTGAGTGACAGTTGACAATATATTAAAAACATAAAATTAATGTAATAAAATATATTGATGAAAAGTATCACATTTAAAAAAAGTCGTTGTTGCAAATATTTGATAATTTTTTGTTCGACCTCACTCACAACAAATATATTTATATATGTATAACATAATTATTTTTGTGAGATTTTATTTTTTGTAAAGGCTTCTTTGTTTCAGACATTAAGATTTATTAAAACTCGAAGAATTTGACTCAGGTAATTTTTAGGCATATTTGTATAAGATCCTCTTCGGGACCTTTCGTATTTTCTTTCTTTTCCGTAACAATAAAATTTCTTTCATTTTCTTCAGGTAGTGTATATCAATATGACAGACCTTTAGGGTAAAATAAATAGAGTTTATTTAGAGAAAGCAAATGTAAATCTGTCTCTTGTTAATTACATATTTCTCTGGCAAAGATGTTAATAAGACATTAAATTTTTGATTATGATTTAAAGAATAAGATTATGATTATAAGGTTTGTGGAATTTTTCAATTTCCTCAATAATAAGAATAATATATCTTTTACTTTTCAGAATCTTACTTATTATTTACATGAATGGAAAAAGTTAATAAAAAATTAGAATTAGTAATAACATTCTATTTAGTTTTTTTAAAGATGTCAATTTTGTCATTTGGTATGTGCGTATAAGGTGATTTTTAATAATCACCTGTAAGGTGATAGACTGACCTATAAAGTGCAATATGACTATATTAATATTTTCTAAAATAAAGTTTTACATCTTAGCCAGAAATAATATCGAATTTATGTCGATTCGCGACGACAATTTGATCATTCATTTCTGGCTGGGATTTAATATAAAAGAAATGTACTTGGAAATATAGAATAAAATGTAATTATATATAAAATATATATTAAAATAATATATATTCCTTAACATGTTTATTAAAAAGAATTAAACTCTAAACATAATACGCTATTATTTCCTTTTAATAACATTTTACAAAATATGTTATAAAATCATCGATTAAAATAAACTTTAAAAATGTATACAACATTTTTCAGCAAAATTAATATATTTATTAATATTAAATATAATTTTTATTATTATAGAAAATTGTAATTACAACATGCAACATTAAAGTATGTATCAGAAACGGTGGTTCTCATACACGATAACTTGTTTAACGACATATGTAATAAGACGAAAAACTGACTTTATATATTTATTATCTTGACTTTGTTAATTACCGTCTTTAATGTTTAATATTACAATTCAATTTATAATTAATATATTTGTATTGCGCTAAAGAAGGCTTGAAATGTCAGCCGAAACGTTCGCATAAATGTTTATTTCTTATGTATTTATTTTCTCGTTTTAGATGAACTTTATTAATATCATTTGACAATTGCATTTTGTTTAATAGCTCTTATAGCTTTTCTTTGTTTACAATTATTAAGTTTAACAGAGCTAATTACTATTTTAATTTAATCTAAATTAAGAACGTAGATATTTGAGAATCGCCAGACAGAATTTAAAAAAGGTAAAAATCTTCTCTCGACCGTACTGGCAAATATTATTTATTCAATCACAACGTTTCGACCCTTCTTTGAGTCCTTATCAAGTGATCTAGATATACATAAACAGAAATTAATACATTAAAAAAACAAAATTACTTCACTAACAATATTACAAAATGATAAAAAGAAAACGAAGCAAGACTTACTTGTAAGAATAAAATTAAAATTATAATTCTGAGATGTCAAGAACGAACATAGTGTCGATTTGACAACACGTCAAGACTCTTAGACGAGTTATTGGAGACTAAACGACCACTATTATTTTGTCGTAGATATTACTTAGATTGTCGGTATCCTTTTGTAAATTAATAGCGTTATTATTTCCCTTAATAAAGAACATTTCAGCGATTTCTTTTTTTTTTACGTGTTTTTTACTATGCATAATCTAAATTAGTTTGTTTTCCATTAGTTTAAGTGTATTGTTTTAAAATTTTTAGAAAAATTATATATTATATAAAGAAATAACGAAATTTGTTTATTCTCGATAAATTTTAGTAATAATTTATTCAGATAATTTAAACGGAGGTTTCATGTTTGTTTATCTATACATGCAGCGCCATTTATTTTTATAATACCTATGTACGCATGAAATCTAATCGAAATCAATTCATTATCTTTTTTATGCATTTATATTCAACAATGGAGAATATATTTTTTCTCGTGTTATATACCTCTTCAAAAGTTTACAAATATCTATTGTTTTAAGTTATCAACTTTTACCTTAAGAAACCATATTGTAATTAATTTTCTTTTAACATTGCATTTTTCACATGTATACATCAAATTAAGACTTACATAACATTTTAGGAAGATTGGCGTAAGAACAGAGATCTGATTTTAATAGCTCTTATAGATTGTTTCAATACTGTCAAAGTTCTTTCTTTATAGAAATTTATCACTAGTAATGCCAATTTATTACTTATTTCGAATACTCAAATTACTATATATAAAAAAAATATCCTTATCACTTATTTCGAGTACTTAAATTACTGTATATAAAAAAGAAATCCTTCTTTGCACTTCACAAGAAATCGCAATAAATTTAAAATAGCACGTGATAAAGTTTCATTAAAATACTATTTAAAATTAATTTTGAATTTATTGCAAATTCTTATAGAGTATTATGTCCAGACTCAAGAAAGGGAGAGTCAGAGGAAGAACGTAACTACTGATTTTGTCGAACGACGCCGAACGGTGCGTCTGTTCGACCCGAACGAACGTGAGAAGGCCCAAATAGATCAACGACCGAGCAGGTCGTTATTACTCTATTTTAAAAAATTTGTTCGTCGAAAGTCCCTTTTTGGCAAGAGAATTTAATCTCTTTTGCTCGGGATGGGACCTTGTGCGACTTCTGGTTTGGAAAGGAATGAGAGTGGGATTTTTTATTCAATTAATTATATAAAGCTAAATTCATAATTAAAAATGAAATTTATTTTTATCATACCATAAAGAAAAAAATTTTATACATAAGAAATATTAAATTTACAGATCTTATTCTACGCAAAACGTACATAAAGATGCGTGGGAGTGTGTGTGTGTGTGAGAGAGGGAATCGCAAGTTTCGGAAGAGAGAAGAGGGATACAATAAATTTCAAGTAATTATTACTTTTATTAGTATATTATTATCGGTAATAATATTTTCTTTAACTCCACTTTTTCATTTTATCATTATGGTCTTATCATCTGGATATCATAATATAAATTATTATCTTGATGAAAATTCGGATTCTATGAAATAAATGCAATTTTGATATTATCACTGACATATATGCAGTTTTTTGTTTTATCTTAATTACTTTAAAATATTAAACCTATTCATATAGAATTGTATTAAAAAATAATTAGTTTATATGTATATTGATTAATACATATATAATAAAAATATGAACTTTAATAATGTTAGGTAATCGTTAGAGATAATATATAAATCAGAATATGTTTATTATATGCATCTCATTTTTAAATAGTTGAGAATTCTTTGCAATTAAAATCAATATATAAAATTTAAACGTGTATTATTAAATATAGTTAATTATATGTTCAATCGATTTAAATATTTAATTTTTTAATGAAATTCTATCTAATAATATCAAGAAAAGTATAAAAAATATTTATTCCAAATAAAACTTACAAAATTGATTGAATAATTATATTCAGCAAAAGATGTAACTTTTAATACACAAATTTAACACTTATAACAATAAAAAGTGATCAATTAAACTATAATTAAATTATTTGAATACACTTTCTGACTTTAGTTAGAGGAACGAACAGACGATCGTTGTCAAACAGCAAATTTATAGCGAATATTACTTTTCAATTTCTTTGCAACGTCACAGCGCATCACTATCCGCATCGCCTTTTTTGTAGTGCAATTAAAGCTACAAGATATCAACAATATATAAATTGAGTTCAGTTAGAATAATTTATATAGAAAAATGTAATATATTTAAATCTGTTCATTGTCTTGAATTTCATTATTATTTTTCCATAGAAATATACACCGAGAATTTTCTTTTAAAAATTATCATGAAATTCGTCATGAAACAAAGTGATATTCCAAGAATTTTATAAAAATTTCTTTGATTAAAAAATATATTTATTATATTTATATCACAATAAAAATTATTAACATCCACCACAATAAGATATATAAATGAATTTTAATTAAATATATAGTATATATTTATATATAATAATAATTTCAAATATATTAATAACTATATATTAATAACTATATATTAAAAACCTATGTTTCTTTAAATATTTTAATAATTTTTTTAATTCGTTAACTTTTCACAAATAGGTGGAAATAATGAATTTCGCGAGTTTTCTCTTTTTTGTTTAAATTCTGAGAAAAGTTACCTAAAGTGATTTACAAAATTTTATCGAATAAAATTTTTGTGTCTTCTAGTACACCACACTTGACAAAAAATCACAGATTTGGTGAGATAATTTTTTCATGATATACCGTATGTTTAAAATGATCAAAGTGTACGATATGTAAAAAAAATCTCGATTTGCTCTGAGAAAAAGTTAAGAAAAATATCCGTGGCAGCACAATATTTTTCCCATTTTCCAATTATTCACTCTGAAATTGAAATAAATTTACTTGAATGATTGTAATATAAATAGTATAAAATGATAAAAATTTGAATAAAATATTATTTTCTAGTTATACAATATAAATAATGAAAAAACAACTAATATAATTAAATAAAAAAATTTAACATACAGACATACATATCCGCAGACACACATATACTCAGCAGAATTATAATAAATACAAGACAATGTACAGTAACGAAATACAAGAAGACACACCAATAAACAGACATACATGAAAATAAACGTAAACATAACGATACAATAATACTGGTAGACGTTTCGAGACTCTCGTACATTTTCAGTACCATGTAAATCATCGGAACGAACAGACGGTCGTTGCCATACAGCAAATTTATAACGAACATCACTTTTCAATTTCTTTGCAACGTCACCGCGCATCACCATCGGCATCGCTTTTTCCGTTGTGCAATAAAAGCTACAAAATATCAACAGTATAAAGTGAGTCTAGTTAGAATTATTTATATAGAAAAATGTAATATATTCAAATCTGTTCATTCTGTCTTGCATTTCTTTATTATTTGTCTATAGATATATGTATATACGGGAGTTGTTAAAAGATTACTGTCACAGCATAATATATGCAGTGACAGCAATCTTTTTTTTCATAGCATGTATATATATAACTGTTTATTGTAAGAGAACCAATCGCGCGTTCAAAAGAAATTAATTAATTTAATAAGTAATGTGTTTTTGAACAACATCAGCGATATTATGCAACTATGTATGATCCGATGACAGCAGTGAACATTATAGAATTAAAATATTGTGTATCGTCGTTCTGCGTCACTTCGAAGATACCAATATTTTTACATTTTTTTTTTACTACTTTTTATGGTAAAAGTTGCTTCTCCAATTTTAAATTACAGATCGTTGACCTCGTCAGCTTCTACTAGTCAAGATATTGTGTAACAATATTGCTATCCGTGAATAGAAATAAAAATGTTAAACGTAAACCTATGTTTAATCTCTATTTTGAAATGCATTCTAATGCTGCAAATACTCAAGTACACAGGTAAGACTTTTATTTACCAGATGGTCAGTGTTGTGTTTAAATGGTTTCAAAATTAATTACATAAATCTGAGATAAAAATATGTAAATTTATCTTAGATAAAATGATAATGATTTTGTTTTAAATATATCTTGAGAAAGATAAAATTATATGGCGATTCATTTAGATAATTTTCTGATAATATTACTTTTAAGACCGCTTATGCGAATTCAATTATAAAAAAATATAAATTATAAATAGTATATATAAAAATGCATTTATTACTTAAGAATCTTTATGTATTATGACTTTAACCAAAAATTATTTAAACAATAGTCTAGATAATTTAATAAAGATAACACTTTCTTTTTATCTAAAATGCAGCTATAAAACAAAACATATTTTTATTATCTATATAAAGATAAAATGACGTCAAAATTGCATCTAAATATCATATATATAATTTTATTTAAAGTTCAGCAAACACTGGCTATAACTTTCAATGAAATTATCTGAACATTATTCTACATAATTTAGTAATAATAACACTTTTTCATCTAAGATGCACATATATATATATATATATATATATATTATCTATCTAAAGGTAAAATAACAAAATTTTATCAACATGATAACCTTCATAATTTTATTTAGATAACAGCAAATACTGTAGATGATATATATAACTCAAGTAAAAAGAAACCTAAACTGTGTAACACCGTTTCGTTACTGGAAAGCACACAAAGCCCTCTAATACAGGGAGCTCTCCAGCGGAAAACGCGCAGATAAACAAACAAAATATCGCACAATCGGTTATCGAATACAACAATTTCCGATTTTAAAAAATTTTCTATTCCACAGTCAATTGCACATTAAATTTATTTATACCTCCTTGCCCGGGAAAGCTTGTCCGCAGACTTATGTATAATCGCTTCAGCGAGCGTAGATCGTCATTTTTATTTGTTTTCACGAGTTCCATATTCCATATAAATTTGCGTTTATATAGTGCGCACCGTGCACACCGCAATATTCCTCGGGCATACCTCGAGGAACACAATGGCAAGGCACAACAGCAAGTTTTCATATAACGCCTCTCCGTTCCTTCTGATGCTGCGCGCGCGCGCGACAACAAAAGCCGATTAATTACAATATATTTCGCTGAATTAACGAACACGATGCGAGACGAAAATTGCATCGACGTCGTACAGATAGAATATAAGCGACCGAAGGTGCGTTTCGGCCTGACATCTCCGCGAACTTGACGCGAATACTCGTGATGTTTTGAAAACACACAAACACACACACACACACATATAAGTGCGCGAGCACTTTTTCGTGCCTTTTATAAATAATAGCACCCGTGTGGAAATGAAAAATTATTTCCAAATGACCTCAGGAATCTCCTTATTAACAGGGCATCTGGTAAGAACTGATTCGCATCTATGCACCTATGCGAACCAGTTCTTCTAGACGCGACATAACATCAATATAGTAAGCCTATAGTCGGTGCCTGCCTCTATGTGTAACATTGTGGTAATCTAGCTCTTATAAATATGTATGTATACTATCCAAGCGCTAGCTAACATTTGGTAGAAAATAACACAAAAAAGTTGCGCGTCGCGTAGAAAACGCGAATTTTATAAAAATGTACATATATAGAGTGTCCCAAAATTATCAGATGCGCTGTTAATAAGGAGCTTCCTGAGATCATTTGGAGACAATTTTCCTCGGCAAAAATGTCAAAGCACCAATAATTTTCGAGTTATAAGCTATTGAAAAAAATTAAATTTTTTATTAAATTATAATGTAAGCTTTATTATACGTTATTATTATACGTTATTACTTATTATAAATTGTAAATTATGCCCTGTGAAAATAAAATATTAACAAAATCACTTTCTTTATTTTAGTAGAATTTTAATTTAAGATTTAGTTACACAGATACACATGGTAAAAATTGAAAACATGTAAAAAATGATGACCTCTCTCTCGACATTTTTGCTGAAGAATGTAATTTTGGGATACTCTGTATATATAATTTTATATACCTATATAAGAATCTAAATAGGTTGTAACTTTTTGTAATACTTAATATTTAACCATGCATAGTAATTAATATATTTTTTCTTTTTTAAAGGAATGAAATTGAAAAGAATATTTGTTCGTTGATATAGTTGTTCATATATCTTGTGTAATAAAATTTATTAGTTGTTGTACAGATAGCAAAAAGATGTATAAGGAAAGTTAATTATGTTAAATAAAAAATTCTTTATCTGTGACAAGACAGATTTTGTTTGCAATATCGAACATTTGTTAATTTTGCATTAGTGCTGTTACAATGTATATATACTTAATAAGTGCGACGTTATCTTGTAGCATACAAATAATTATTTATTTATAATAATAATATTTATACGAACTCTATTTTGACATCGCGTATCTTTCGGATCACGATAAGAGAATGTCTATATATGTTTATAGTATATAAATATTTATTTTTCGTTATAATTAGCCAGAGCATACATTTTTCAGATCTACCCGTCACCGCATCGTCGAACAGAGTAAGAATATACGTAAATGTGTCTGAAGGAACATTAGTCGGCATCGGCGAGAAAAGCATCTATGGTTCTTACAATGCCTTTCGTGGAATACCATATGCTAAACCTCCAGTAAATGATCTCAGATTTCAAGTAAGTACAGAGAATGATTGTAAATATTACTATCTTTGTTAAAAGATTTACTTTGACAAGTGATACAAACTGTTTATAGGATAATTTTATAAAATATAAAAGATACAGTTATTTACAGTTATTTCTTCTTAATGAGGAAATAAAAACTTTTAATAATTCTTTTGTCGTTTCCATAAACGTTGTCGAAAACAGCGATTCATTACTTATATCCTTTGAATAGTACACATTCTCCCATATTCGTTCTTCCCATTGCTTGCCGTTAACTGATTTCTCAATTTTAATATTATCCATAACATGCCTTTCAATTAACATGCCTTTTTAAAGAAAGGATTTATGACTTAACGATATCGCCAAGTTTAGAACAAATCGCAATTGTATGTGTATTTAAAATAATAAATTTAAAAAACTGATTATAAACAACAGATTTTTAAAACATCTAAATCTTTTATTAGTAAATCTGTTGAAGATAGTCCAAATCGTAATTATTCTCAAAATAATGAGAAAAACAAATGCTTATCTCTTTTATTAGTCCGTTTCATACCTCATTTTGTATTTGCATGTGTATCTGTTCCTACAAGTGTCTGGTGTAATTCTTTGAATTTTACATATTGTAGGGAGTGTTGTGCCTATTGTTAGATAATGTTAAAATTAGCTAGATAAAGATGAGATGAATATGTAAATTTATCTTACATATAAGATTAAGATTATTTTGTTTTAAATATATCTAGACAAAAGATAAAATTACATGGCGATTTATCTAGATAACTTTCAGATAATATTGTTTTTAAGATCGCTTATGTAGACAAAGTTGTAAAAAATGTAAATTATAAATGAGATATAAAAATATATTCATACATTCATTTCTAAATTTTTATCGCTTATTGCTTAAGTCCTAGTAATTAATTATTTTTATGTTATGACTCTAAATCAATTATCTGAATAATTTAGTAACGATAACTTTTTTCATCTAATTGTAAAATGCATGTATAGGTAATACATATTTTTTATTATTTATATCAAGATAAAATGGCGCCAAAATTTTATCTAGCTGATCATCTATAAAATTTTATTTGGATAACAAATACTGATTGTAGGATCCGCAACCACCAGAACCATGGTTCGGCGACAGAGACGCTTCGTTTGACAGAAACGTCTGTCTTCAGGAAGTGCCAATCTTGCACGCAGTCTTAGGCAATGAAGACTGTCTTTATTTGAACGTGTATACCAACGATATGACGCCTTCAAAGAAAAGTGCTGTGATGGTGTGGATACATGGTGCAAGCTTTTTTATGACAGACAGCACCTCGCGTATTTACGGTCCCGATTATATCATGCGGAAAGATGTGGTACTCGTTACTCTGAATTACAGATTAGGTGTTCTAGGTACATTATTAATTAACTCAAAATCATTTTATGTTACTTGCGGTCTACTTTTTTTAAGTAAACACATACGCATTCTACTTTTTACCTTTTCACGATCTAAATAATTTACGTGTATGAATGATTCATTGAAAATACCAATTTCAAAACAATAACCAATTCTTATAACTTATAACTTTTTTATAAATTTTGTATCTTTTTAAAACAGTTATCGAATTATAAGCAATTAATAAATCTCGTGAAATTATCTTATTTAATCGTTGGAATTTTTAAATTTTTATATAACTTATATAAATAATTAGAGAATATTAAATGTTCGATCAAACTAGCACAAATTAAATATTATTAAGTTTCGCAACGTTTCGACCACGTGGTTGATTGGTCCTTATCAAGTGAAAACATTAATATTAATTCAACCACATAGTTGAAACGTCGTGAAACTTAAAAAATTATAATTTGTGCTAGATTGGCTGACTATTTAATATTCCTTATTTTACTGTAGCCAATGCTAATAATTAAGACTTGATTATATAAATAAACTTTACTAAACATATTAACGACAAGTTTCTTTCATTTTCTCTTTAGGTTTCCTTAATTTTATAAAAAAATGGCGACAGGAAATCAGGGTTTAAAAGATGTAGTTATGGCGTTAAAATGGGTTCAAAGAAATATATTGCAATTCGGTGGAGATCCCGATAACGTCACAATTTTTGGACAAGGTGCGGGTGGAGTGATGGTTCACTATTTGACCATTTCACCGTTAGCTAAAGGTACGAATCAAAAAAACATAATATTGATATACATATATCATGAATATTTAAGAACACATTCTATACAAAAAAATAAAAAAAATTATTATAACTTTGTTACAGCATAAAATTTTAAATAAAAAGTTTTTTTTTCATTTTAAGTTAAATTTCGATTGCAAACTATATAATATCGACATTTTATCGTCGTAGAAAAAAAGGAGGATTCCAAAATTACTTGGAAGATAACTGATAACATCCTTCAGTAAATAGAAAATCGATTCTAAATTGAGAATTGAAAATTAAAAGCACGCTGCCCAGGTAGCAAGTTGACGTTATTAAACGTCAAAATGACGTCATTTTAACGTGAGCTTGCTATCTGGGTGATTAGTTTTATGTGTTATATTGAGTCAAAGAAAAGAAAATTCAACATTTCATAATAAAATCATATAAAACTTCTTCGAGTGCCAATTATATTATGTACGAATGTGTGCTTAACAGGTTTATTTCATAAAGCAATATGTCAAAGTGGCGCTGCGACTGTTCCTTGGGCTTTCACTGAACGAGACGATGCTATCAATAACGGTCTGATGTTAGCCCAGAAACTTGGTAATGCGACTTCAGATCCGGAAGTCGCCTTGAAATTTCTGAAAAACATAGACAGAAGAAAATTGATAAGAACAGAAACGGAGGTCTTTTTGCCGCTCTATTACGATTATTGCAATACTAATGTTCGATGAATCACAATAAATTATTTTTTTACATTTATAATATTATGTCCTTGCAGTTTGGCTTACAATTAGATGTTTGGCTTGCATTTACGCCGACCGTGGATTCCGAGTCATCGAATCCATTTTTACCAAAAAATCCATTGCAATTATTACGTAATGGAATTAAAGTACCAATCATGTTCGGATATAATAGCCAGGAAGGCAATTTTTTCGTAGGTACCAGTGCTCCCAGCCGTAAGTATATGTATTTGCTTTTACTTTTTATTAACACATTATTATTAGTATATCATGAATCACTGTTTATGTAAAATTTACATAGAAAAACAATCTCCAATATTTTGAAAATGTTTTAATGTACACACAATGTTATAACAAATTTAATCAATATTAATAAGTTTCAGGATTTTATCAATATGTAATTTTTAAATGTACAAAGAATTATTAAGTAATTATTAATGAAATCGTTTTGTTTCGGAGTAAAAAAAAATTGAGTTACATATTTATTTAAAATACCTAAATAAAAAATAGTTAAAAAATTAAAAAATAAAATTGAAATTAAAATAAGTAAAATAAAAAAAAATTAAAATTAAAATCGTTATTAAATTCATTTCAGGGATAAACAACAAGACTATTAAAAAAATTAATTCTGACTTCAAGAAAGCCATATATCCTAAAGTTTTGCGTCAATTACTACAACTAGGGATCACGATATCGGAATTACGATTATTGTATTTTGGTAATCACAATGTGTCAGAGAAATCTATAATGAGTCTTTCTGATTTTATCGGCGATCAGTATATCTATAGAGGCATTATTCAAGCAATTGATATTCAATTGAATTCTAATGTTAACGGCCCGACTTACTTGTACAACTTTTCGTACAATAGTGAATTCTCTATTTGGAAGAAAGTATTTTTTGACAAGCCGCTTCCAGGTATTGCGTTATTAATTAAAGTAGAACAATGTAATAATCAAATTAATATTAGAGTTACAAAAGAAGTGAACATGAAATTGGGTGTCTTTAAATTTTTATATATGTTTGTTAGAAGACAAACGTAGATTTGAAGACATTTAATTAAGAAAAGTTTAGAGAACATTTAAATATAAATTTTAGATTGCACTTGTAATGTATTGGAAAAATTATCAACTTTTGAGATTAATTTGTATAACAATATTTTGTAGGTACATCTCACTTGGAGGAACTGAGTTATTTATTTTATCCTCATATAGTAGAAGATTTCGATGTATTACCATTTGAACATGGTACGCCGGATTATGAAATTATGGAATACTTAACGCAGATGTGGACAGATTTTGCTAAAACGGGGTACCATAGACTTGATATTTCTTACGAATATTTATTGTAACATCGTACAATTGCGTAATAATAATCAAATACACATTTATTGCAGAAATCCAACACCTTCTTCAGCTAATTTTACATGGACCCCAGTGAAAAGTAGAACAACGTATGATTATTTAGATATTCATACTAAACCTCAAATGAAGATTTTTATTAAAGGAATCCAACGATGGGATTGGGAGATACTTAGATCATACAAAAGAGTATACTAAAGTGGAACAATTTCCAGATATAGAATCATTCGTTAATCACACAAACCATCATACAGACCTATAGTATGAAATAAAATATGAAGAATTTTAACTAAAATTGAATAGCTCTGAAAAAAAATATTTATATGCAAAAAACTGACAAATTAACAAAAGACTGACAGTGGGAAACAATGTGATGTATCAATGGTGACCAAAGCTAAATCGTTTTTTCAATTTGCAATTTTCCTTTTTTTTAAACGCATTATCTGTTTATTAGATATAAATATGTGTATATATATATGTATACTGTATATAGTATACATATATATTTACTGTATTTCGAAAAATAAGATCTATACTATACATATTATTTTTCTAAATATTTTTTACTTTTAATAATTTTAAAGTAATCCCAAAATATATTTTACAATCCTTGGTCAAAGATTTATTAAACCCCAGACGTATGAAAAATATATTCTTTTAAAAATAAAATGTCTTTCTTTCTTTTTATGTATTTCTATTTAAATACATTTTCACCTTCTCTATTTTTGAAAAAAAAATTAATATCTCAAAAAATGATAACTGAATTGCCACAATACTCTTATCGAATCATGCGATACACTGACTCATAATTCCAATGAGAAAATTTTTGAGAAAAAAAAAGAAAGAAATTAATATCTAATTTATATTTTATTGTCAATCCACTATCTCCTTCTGGCTCAGACGAATGAGTTTATAAACGAGAAGATAATCAAGAAATACAAAATCGATGTTTGCGCTCTACAAATATGATAAGTCTCAAATTATTATCAATAACGACGATATTCGTAATAAGAGTTATCGGAAATGCCGAATTATCATTTCTCGCGAGTCCAACTCGTTTTATAATCATATGCTTCCAAGTTTCAAGTTCGATTGCGTGAGAATATACATATGTAAATATGGTTGTATAATCCCGACGGAGACACGTTGACAGTCACGCTGCGTGGATCTCTGGCAATTGATCTCGAGCAAAATATGAACCCTACATAATTAATGAATATATCAATAGCAGGCAAAAATTTACACCGGATACACGAAATCGTTTGTCAATGGTATGTGGATGATATCCGAAAAAACGCGACAGGTAGAGGAGCCATTGACAGTTTTTAAACATGGTTTCGTAAGAACTGTGTGTGGCTTTTCTAGGTCGATTAAAAATAAAAACGAGCCTGATCAAAGTAGTATAAATTATTTATATTTATCTGTATAAATCTTTTTTCTACATATAGTAATTTGTGAAATTTCTCAAAATTGTTAATAATTCTTTTCTTTTAAAAGATTTCTCGTCGATTCAAGCAAACGAAAAAAAAAGATAATAAGAAAAACTTTTTTTCAAACTTATTATTTAATAATTAGTCTTATCTGCCGTAAAAAATATTTGTTTCTACTAGTAATGCTCATATGCGCATAATATGTTTATTACGTCATTATATACATTTATAACAATCAAATAATATAGAATTAAAGCACGCAATTGATCGATCTTAATAAGGCTTACAATAAATTTTACAAAATAATGATTACTTTTATCAGTATATTATTATCGATAATAATATTTTCTTTAACTCCATTTTTCCATTTTATCATTATATGATCTTATCATCTGGATATCATTATATAAATTATCATCTAGATTAAAATTCAGATTCTATGAAATAAATGCAATTTTATCACTAACAGATATGCACGTTTTTGTTTTATCTTACCTTAAAATATTAAACCTATTCATATAGAATTGTATTAAAAAATAATTAAGAGTTTAACAAGGCTCTGTAATATAAATATAAATTTAAAGTGTAAGACAGACAATAAGGGCCAAATCGCGGATGACAGTGCGTTATCACAACAAAACTAAAATTTTTTCGTTAGAATTAAACACCTGTGCACAAGGCACTAAATTTTAGTTGGTCATGGCCAAGATGTATGGAATTAAATCTCTTGTAGAGATTATTCCAATTTTAAATCTTGGCCGTGACCAAGTAAAATTTGGTGCCTTGTGCAGGTATTTAATTCTAACGAAAAAATTTTAGTTTCGTTGGGATAACGTACTGTCATTCGCGATTTGACTCTTATTGCTTGTCTTACACTTTAATTTTCTAAAAAATAATTAGTTTTTATATATATTGATTAATACATATATAATAAAAATATAAACTATAATAATGTTAGGTAATTGTTAGAGATATTATATAAATCAGAATATGTTTAGTATATGCATCTCATTTTTAAATAGTTGAGAATTCTTTGCAATTAAAATTGATATATAAAATTTAAACGTGTATTATCAAATATAGTTAATTATATGTTCAAACGATTTTAATATTTAATTTTTTTAATGAAATTCTATCTAATCATATCAAGAAAAATATAAAAAATATTTATTACAAATAAAACTTGAAAAAATTGAATGATTTTATTAAATTCAGCAAAGAGATATACCTTTTAATACACAAATTTAACACTTATAAAATAAAAAGTGATCAATTAAACTATAATTAAATTATTTTGAATACACTTTCTGATTTTAGTTAAAGGAACGAACAAACGATCGTTGTCAAACAGCAAATTTATAGCAAATATTACTTTTCAATTTCTTTGCAACGTCACAGCGCATCACTATCCGTATCGCCTTTTTCGTAGTGCAATTAAAGCTACAAGATATCAACAATATATAAATTGAGTTCAGTTAGAATAATTTATATAGAAAAATGTAATATATTTAAATTTATTCATTGTCTTGAATTTCATTATTATTTTTCCATAGAATTATACACCGAGAATTTTCTCTTAAAAATTATCATGAAATTGATGATAATCATAAAACAAAATGATATTCCAAGAATTTTATAAAAATTTCTCTGATTAAAAAATATATTTATTATATTTATATCACAATAAAAATTATTAACATCCACCACAATAAAATATATAAATGAATTTTAATTAAATATATAGTATATATTTATATATAATAATAATTTCAAATATATTAATAACTATATATTAAAAACCTATGTTTCTTTAAATATTTTAATAATTTTTTAACTCGTTAACTTTTTACAAATAGGTGGAAACAATGAATTTCGCGAGTTTTCTCCTTTTTGTTTAAATTCTGAGAAAAGTTACCTAAAGTGATTTACAAAATTTTATCGAATAAAATTTTTGTGTCTTCTAGTACCCCACACTTGACAAAAAATCACAGATTTGGCGAGATAATTTTTTCATGATATACCGTATGTTTAAAATGATCAAAGTGTACGATATGTAAAAAAAATCTCGATTTGCTCTGAGAAAAAGTTAAGAAAAATAAAATCCGTGACAGCACAATAAATCTACTTGAATGATTGTTTGTAATATAAATAAATAGTATAAAATGACAAAAATTTGAATAAAATATTGCTTTTTAGTTATACAATATAAATAATGAAAAAACAACTAATATAATTAAATGACAAATTTTAACATACAGACATACATATCCGCAGACACACATATACTCAGCAGATTTATAATAAATACAGGTCGAGGAAGACACACCAATAAACAGACGTACATGAAAATAAATGTAAACTTAACGATACAATAATACTGGTAGACGTTTCGAGACTCTCGTACATTTTCAGTACCATGTAAATCACCGGAACGAACAGACGGTCGTTGCCATACAGCAAATTTATAACGAACATCACGTTTCAATTTCTTTGCAACGTCACCGCGCATCACCATCGGCATCGCTTTTTCCGTAGTGCAATAAAAGCTACAAGATATCAACAGTATAAAGTGAGTTTAGTTAAAATTATTTATATAGAAAAATCTAATATATTAAAATCTGTTCATTCTGTCTTGCATTTCTTTATTAAATTATTTCTCTATAGATATATACACGGGAGTTATTAAGAGATTACTGTCACAGCATAATATATGCAGTGACAGCAATCTTTTTTTTCGTAGCATGTATATAACTGTTTATTGTAAGAGAACCAATCGCACGTTCAGAAAAAATTAATTAATTTTATAAGTAGTGTTTTTGAACAACATAAACAATATTGTGCAACTATGTATGATCCGATGACAGCAGTCAACATCATAGAGTTAAAATATTGTGTATCGTCGTTCTGCGTCACTTCAAAGATACCAATATTTTTACATTTTTTTACTATTTTTTATGGTAAAAGTTTCTTCTGCAATTTTAAGACTTCTATTTACCAAATGGTCAGTGTTGTGTTTATATGATTTCAAAATTAGATACATAAAGCTGAAATAAAAATATGTAAATTTATCTTAGATAGAATGATGATTTTGTTTTAAATATATCTTGAGAAAGATAAAATTATATGGCAATTCATCTAGATAATTTTCTGATAATATTACTTTTAAAACCGCTTATGTGAATTCACTTATAAAAAAATATAAATTATAAATAGTATATATAAAAATGCATTCATTACTTAAGAATCTTTATGTACTATGACTTTAATCAAAAATTTTCTGAACAATTGTCAAGATAATTTAATGAAGATAACACTTTTTTTATCTAAGATGCAGCTATAGAACAAAACATATTTTTATTATCTATATAAAGATAAATTGACGTCAAAATTGCATCTAGATATCATATATATAATTTTATTTAAAGTTCAGCAAACACTGACTATGACTTTCAATGAAATTATCTGAACATTATTCTAGATAATTTAATAATGATAACACTTAAAACTTTTTCATCTAAGATGCAGATATAGATTATATATTTATATCTATTCATAATTTATATATATATACCCAGCAAACACAATATATAAATGTTATATACTCAAGCATGTTACATGTAACGTATATGTTAGTTGTAATTTCCCACTCATTGATGTAACATTTTTAATATTACATATATTACATTGTAGTTATATTGTCATTATATCCCAAGATAGCACTGACTTATCAATACATCAATGTGCTATTTGGTATATAATTACAATATAACTACAACGTAATATATGTTATATTAAAATGTTACATCTATGAGTGGGAAATTACAACTAACATGGATGTTACATGTAACGTACACGTTATATTACCTGTTATATTCCGTTTTATTGTAGCAATGTAACAATTATATATCGGTGTTTGCTGGACAAGTAACAACACGTACAACGATGTGTCACCATTCCCGTAGGAGAACTCGCTCACGTGCATACTTAATTCGGGGCAGAAAACTTAAAAATAAAGTTAAGAATATAATAAACAAAATAATTTGTTTAAGATACACGTGAAAAAGTTTGCTACTGTAGCTAAATTTTTTTTGTTTTTATATGATATATATTATAGAATTATCATCATCCTCCTAAATTAAAATTATGATAGATAAATATTTTATAGAATTCTTCATTAAATTATAGCGAAATAATAATTGTTAGTATAGCTAAAATTTAGGCATGATAACTAAATTTTGAAATTGTAAGATAAGACAGTTAAAATTTAAAGTTGTGATTATCTTTTTTCTTTATAGATAAATCAATGAAACTTGAAATACATTCGGTCTTTGCGTACGAAATATCAAATATTTGCAAAATTTCATATAAAAGTTAAAGACCTTTTGCGCCTAAAATAGATTGGCAGTTTCAAAGATTTGATAACAATTTTTCTGTATTTTAAACACTTTTGTCAGTATAAAATATTTTAGTTAAAAAGTTTGTTTAAGATACACGTGAAAAAAAATTAGTTACTGTAACTAAATTTTAGCTGTCTCTATATTATACATAAAATTTAGTTATCATCATCTATAGTGTAATGGAGAAGTCTGTAGCTAAAATATTAGCCATCATAGCTAAAATTTAGGCATGATAGCTAACTTTTAGATTGTAATGTAAGGACAATTAAAATTTAGCTATAGTGACTAATTTCTTTTTCATGTATTATGTATACAGATAAATCAATCGGAAATACATTTAGTCATTGTTATAAAATATAAAATATTTTCAATATTACATTTAACAATGAAGAATTATTTACATAAACATATTTTGTTCTAGAATTTAAAAATAGGAAATAACATGAGTAGTAATATCAAATTGATTTTAACGATCTAAAACAATTAACAATAATTTTCTACTAAATTTATTTTATACTAAAATTAAACTTTTTTGTCAGTACATATTTTTATTTCTTTAGGAATGTATTAATTAGATACGCATATTGTGCTGTGACAATTCATTTAGGTATAATAGTTGCTGAGCATAGAATGTTATTTCCCGATTTATTTTATAAGACTTCATAAAAACGAAGAAATTTTATTATTGTTTTAAACGGAGAAAAATTTCAACACATTTTTAACATTTAAAGTTTCTCATCGTTTCTGGATAATTGATAACTGACAAAAATGTTAAAGCCGTGTCCGGTTTTTACAAAATATGATTCGTGTATGATTATTTCAAAAATAAGATTATTAAAAAGATTTATGCAAATAATGTAAAATCAAGGAATGACGAGATTACAGCTTCTACGTTTCCGTTTCTCAGGAGAAGTTGATGCTCCGTATACACCCAATAAACGAGATGTTTGTATTTCAAATTTTGGAGCACATAAACTGATTGCGTCGAAAAATACAAGTTCCATATCTGATTTGACAACGCTCAATTCCATAGGCTTATTAATACGATAAATTGTCGCATTTTCTATTTTTCTGTTAATTAATTTATTTGTTTTTTCTATATAGTAGCACGAAAAATTAAATATATAGATAAAATTTAGAATGTGGCGCAGTCTTGAAATGGATAAATATTTATCACGTAGCGTGTAACATTCTTTCATAGAAGGTGGTCATAGATATATTACATTTCTGCAAAAAATATCAAAACACTGTTTATAAAATTTTATTTTATTTTTTCTTATAAATAACAGATTCCTATCATTTCTGCTTTATGCAAGTCTCTATTTTGCAGGCATTATTTCTACATTTTTCAATATATTCTTAAAAATTACCATCTTACTTATTTAAATTAATTAACCACTTTTTACTTATACACTATATATTATATTTTAATTATATGTTATATATTTTAATTATATTTCAAATTGTAACGTTTGCACTCGATAAGATTCTCTTAACGTGCCATTTTGTATAAACCTTCATGCAAATTTTGACATTTTTTACATTATTATATCTATTACTTAATACAAAATAATACGTATATAGTAAAAGAATTACTTACCTCGTCAATTTTTTTATAGCAACAATATTCTATCAATTGAGATTTGGTAAAATCGGATAAATTAAGGATTTCTCTTAGACGCTCCTCAATATTACCACAAACCATTAAAGAAATAAATAAAAGTCCTTCGTACAAACTATACGGACTTAAAACAATATTTTTTTTCTTCAACTGGATCTTAACTTTATGCAGACAGTTGATCGCGAACTGAAAACGCCATTCCGCTATTAATTCATCTGGCAAATTGGAATAATAAAAAAGAAAACATCAAATTAAAAATATAGAATATTCGAAATAGAAAATCATTAATTAACAAAAGTTTCAATTAAATTCAACAGTTAAATCAGAACATGTAACAATGTATGAAATGAAAAATGCAAAGTACAATATTTTAAAATTTATTCGTCAATTATAATTATGAACAAATTATTATTCTGCAATATTTTTATCTAATTCTATCAAAAAACTCATTCTATTTTTTGTCGTGCACAATAAGATGAGATATTTAATGTCAAAATTAAAGTAATTTTATGTATATTTAAAACGCGAATTATCACTTAGCTCAAATATATATATAGTTCATATTAGCAGATTTTGCAATGATATAATCAATTACTTGAGACTAATTAAAATACTCGGCTAATTATATAAATTACATCGAAATGTAAATTTAATGTGTAATTCACATCAATGTGTACAATAACGAAATATAAAATACATATAAATATTTGCGTCACAACTGGAATTTTAGTTCAATATTCTATAAATTGATTGTAAAATTACATTATTTTATAAAAATATCATTGTACTTACTTATACGCAGAAAGTCTTCCCACTTCATTTTGTTCATAAAATATCAAAAACAGAAAAAAACACGTGATACCGTGTGAAAAAATAACTTATTTATTTAATATAATAACTTTGTGTAATATTATCTGCCAACTATAATCTAGCTCGCGTATTGTTAGTTTGGCGTTATCGAATTTAATTGTTGCACAAGTAGTTCAACCGAGTGTAAAATAATTTTAATTTTGTGATATACTTCTGTTCAAAATTCTACTGAACAATTTTCGAATCTGAAACCGTTCTCAGGCTTTATATTTTATCGTGGTGAAAGTAACGTTTCTGTCAAAATTTTAACATGCTAAATATTATAAATACACACGGATACACACATACACGCACGCAAAAACACGCACACAGGAACAGCTAAGAAAATGTGAGGTGTATAAAAATATAATTGTTAACAAATTCCCAGATTGTCTTATCAAGCAATAGTGTTTTAAAGAGATAATATATTATAATATCTAAACATGTTAGCTATAACTCATATAATTAGTATTAATTTTAATGCTTGTTATTTAATACATTTGTAACTTCAGCATTAAGAGAAGTTATTTGAAGCATACTTTATAAATAAATAAAATATACACATTGGCTCTATAGCTAATTTATTTTTATTATAAATTTAATATAGAGAACTTTAGATTCTTAAGAAAGTATATATATATACACTTCTCATCGAAGGACAAGAAAGTTAATGAGGAAGGGAAGAAGTTGATAAAAGAGTTG